CCCCCCCCCCCGGGTGCGCGCTGGCGCACCGCCTCTCCATGCCTTCCCCGGAACGATGGCCGAAACAACTGCGGGATCGGTTTTTCGGACCTTGCTTCGGACTGGCACGATAACCACAACAACAACCACCACCGTAAGATCTGGCCGCCGTACTTGGAATGGGCCAAGGGGTTCGGCGTGAGGGAGACGGCGGTCCGCGTGTTCAGGTGGGACAGCAGAATAAGACGGAAGATTCAGCGCCGGAATGAAAGGAAGCGATCGTGCCATTCGCGTAGGACCTCGATCACGTGTCGTGGTTTGGTTCGCTGTTGTCTTTGTTGTTGTTGTTGCTATGCCTGAGACGTTGGCCTGTTGGTCGTGTTTTCTTGATTGTTGTCATAGTGATAGCAACACGTGTGAAGTATCTCACCCGTTCGACCTCGCCGCAGCGAAGCTCCTAGTGTGTATGGACTGAGGAAGCTCACCGCCGCTCTGTTACCGTCTTCTTCCCCGCCCTCTTTTGGCGTAGGTGTACTCGATCCATCCGTTATCTTGTGTGTGTGTGTGTGTGTGTGTCTTCTGAAGGCGTTGCACCACAGTTTGTGTTCGGCCCCGCCAAATATCCGAAAACGGCAGCAAGCTTGTTGCTTGCATGCATGCATGCATCATTGATATGTTTTCATACTGGCGGGCTGCCGTTCCCCCCCCCCCATTCCATCGTCCTACGCACGGGGCGTGTTTCTTGTTTGGGCGAGGGACGACACCTGGCGTTCGACCCCTCCTACCTTCTAGTGTGCGCCGAAGCTTTCTTGACTCCTTATTCACACATGCATGGACCGTTTTTTTTTTCTTCTTTGCTCCCTCGTTCGTTTGCCGTATGCCGCTTCCCCTTGAACACGGCCGGCACATTGTTTGCGCTTCGGCTTGTTTCACGCGTCGTCGGGAACAAAAACAGGCGCTACCTGATGTTCGACCCCTCTCACCGCGAGGACTACGTAGACTACCTGGAGACGGAAGGGCAGTGGGAGGAGGCGGCCAAGCAGCTCGGCATCTGCGTGAACGACGAGGACTTCCTGTCGCCTCAAGTGAGACGAGACGCGCGGGCGAGCGAGCGAGCGAGGCGTGCCGGTTGTTGTTGTGGTGCTTGTTTGTTTGTTGTCTTGACGTTCACAGTCGTTCCGGTCCCTGCTCCTAATATCCATGCTGGTCCGACTGACTCGGGCGCCCCTTCAGTGGTCGCGGGCCAACTGCTCCCATAAAGTCACACACGTATCTATATCCAGCGCGCACAAATGTAGGCTTGCGAGCGCTTGTTTTGTTCAACGATGGGGCGTTGGCGTGTGCAGTTAGCCTTTGTTTCTTGCTTGTTTGTTTTCGTACGAGTGATGGGCTACAAGCCTTGCGCTGAACCTGTTTCTCTGCCAGGCCTCGCTTTGGACTTGTCCCGGGAGGATGTGCTTTGTACTCGGCGCAAGATGTTTCCCCGCCACTAGCGCTGTTTCGGTGTTTCAGCTTAGTGTGAGTATCCTGGTACCGTCCGCTATCCTACAGCAGGCGCGCCGCCCTGTTTCCCGGTATGCCGGGAAAGGCTCTCAAGTGTCCTGTGTCCTGCCGTGCGTCCGCCACCCACCGCGCCTACGCTGATGTTGGTTGTGTTTTTTGTCGCGTTTTTTGTTTTCGCCTGTTTCACGCCGTTCCAATGTGCAACGACGCAACGAACGACGGCGTACGGGGGGGGG